TTAAAAAGTGGCAACGCAATGTAATATTTCAACACAGCATCTTCGTCGTAGGTCAATCGAGATTGGTCTTCAGCAAACACAGTAACAATCGAAAAGTTCCAAGTTTGTGTATTTTATCATAAATAACATGGTTTGACACATCAAAGTTGAAGGTTTTTATTATAAACAACCTCAAATAAGTTATGCTGATAGCTTTGCATTTTCCTGGAAACTTTTCATTATCAAGAATCAAATTCTTGACAGTTTCCCATTGTGTTTCAGTTAAAAATGACGGTCGTCCGTTATCTTTTTTTCCAAACAATGCCGTCTCCATACCTCTTCGTTTGTTGATATTTAACTGACTTGAAGTTAAAGCAAAGACTCTACATAGTTTACTCTCGGTCACCTTTTCCGTATTCATTCCATTGAAAATTTCTCTTTCAATATTCATCAAATACACCTGAACATTCAGGGGCAATTCACAAAAGTTGCAATGTTTGCTGAATGTTCTTTGGGCTATTTCTTTCACTGGACCAGGACAATACTTTAAATTCTCTTCAAGTGTTGTATGGTCTAAGCCACTAAAAGCAACATTCCTGGAGCTCATAATTATATTATTTAGATTGTTTTTTTAAAGAAAAACACTTTTATTTAAAAAAAGAAAAACAAATATGTAATTTTTGTTGTATTAACAGGGTTTTCTCATTCTCACATACTTTTCTCACATACTGTAATATAATATTTTATTTTTTTAATATATTAATATATTAATAATATTAATATAATTATAGTAAATGGGAGCTAGGGATAATATTTGGTCTGGTTCTCGAATTAAAAATGTGTCGATAATTCAACTCGAAACAGTAGAAACCGAGTGAGACGATAATCAAAAAGAAGGCACAGGCGGTCTGTTTGTGCACCCGTTCCACGCACTTTCAATGTCCTCCCTGGCGCGAATTCCAATGAACGCCCCGTTTGAAAAGGGAACCACATCAGCGTCCAAACAGTACGGAGGAGGAAAGTGGTGACATGGGGACGCACAGACAGTGACTTAAAGGTGGACTTCATTCAAAAAATACTCGCGGCAAATACTTTGTTAAGGTGGTGAAACAAGTCTGTTTAAATAAATAAAAACGAATAAAAACTCGAGTTTATTATGTTTGTTTTTATTTATTTATTGTTTTATAATAAGTAATTTATAATGTAATAGTACCGAAAATAGTTTTAGAAACAAAAATAATGCATTTTTATTCAAAAACGAGTATTCTGATTAATTTAGGTGAAAACCCAATTATTTTACATAAATTCAAACAAAAAAATAAAACTATGATTATAAAACTCAAAAGTGTTGTTTTTATTATATTTTCTTACTTCGGGTTTAATTATTTTAGAATAAATTAAACCCGGATTATACTGTATAACAATTTTATTCAAATACTGCAAAGAAAGTGACTTTTAATTTCAAGGAAAACAAAATAATATAATTATTTTAATCTTTGTTTGTTTACTATAATATTTCATAATTAATAATATGTAAGGTTTAATAATTATATACTAGAAGGATATAAAAAACATCTTTCTTTTAATTACTTTCTAATGATTTAATCGTTTGAAATAATATCATTAAAATAAAAAGTATAATACTAATTACTACTTGAACAGAGAAAGTCTCAACTGGCATATTATGGTATGGTTAATTACCAACTTTTTACAATTGACTTTATAAAATTTCAATTAATTTGTTTTTTTAAAGCAAAAAAAATTACGAAATTAAAAATTAATCTCGATGAATTTCTGTATTAGATGGGAAACATTGAATTCCAATTAATGTTATACTTAATGGTATGGTAACACTACTAAGACTAATACATCTAAAGAAACAATTATCACTAATTGAAGTGACACTTGATGGTATTGTAACACAGATTAAACTAATACATTCACAAAAACAACCATCACCAATTGATGTAACACTTGATGGTATTGTAACACTACTTAAACTAACACAATCACTGAAACAACAATAACCAATGGATTTCACACTTGATGGTATCGTAACACTGCTAAGAACATAACATCCACGGAAACAACCATCACCCAGTGATGTGACATTCGATGGTATTGAAATACTGCTTAAATTGCTACATTGACGGAAACATTCCTCACCAATTGATATTACATTTAATGGAATGTTATTACCAAATTTTTCTCTATCGTTTTGAGTGTAAGTTACATTTTTAAACTCGATGTTTCGATTTTTGTTTCTGTTAACAGTTTCAAAATCAACATTGAACCACACAATGATTCGAAAGAATTCTATTTTCAAACCAGTTTTATTTTCACAATGTTTATTTTCTTCTGTGTTGATCATAAATTTATTGCCAAATGTATCATCTTTTTTATTCCACAAACAAAGTGTCTCGATGTTTGGAAAGTATCTAATTGTTTTGCGATTTAACGGAATTGGGTTAAAATGAAACTTCTCCATATTACCACCATACTTCTTGCATACCAACTCCAAGTTTATAAAATCTTTAATAGTTTTGAAGTACTTCGAGACTATCATAATGTGATAACTTGAAAGTCTTGACATTGTTAAATTCTCAGTTTGTCGTTGTTTAAATAATACAGATTCGTCTTTTTAAAATAATTATAATAAATTATAAATTAATATATCTTGCAAATGAGTGTTAAAATAACACACTAAAAATATTTTTAACATTTTTATAAATCATGAAAACGTTTC